ACTAAAACAATTTTGACCAACATGAGAGTTAGATTAACATGCTTGTTTGACTTTCTGCTTTGAAATCATGTAAGTCAGGCTATGAGTACTGAAAATTTTCCTTTTTTGGGTCCAAGAATTGGTCCAGTTTTGGAAAAATAGAATAATTTTTGAGAAAATTAGTCAGCTTTACTAAAAATCCTCAAAAACTATTTTTGTAAATGGCCACTACCCGACCAATGAAAAATTAACTCTTGAGATGCACAACCTTAGATCTGAACTTGATTTGTCTTGTAGCTAAATCTTCTAACGGAATATGAAAATCAATTTTGAATAAAGATGAGCACAAAGATGAGCCAATTTGCACATGGATAGGATAACCGAGTTTGAATAAGGATAAGCCAAGCAACATGGATAAGACAAGCAGGTTGAAAATGGTTGGGGCTGAACTTCAGGATGAAGTTGCCTATGTATCCCAAAGATGGGAATCAGGCCATACGTAGTTCCCGAGTCAAGGTGCACCCGGGTATTAACACTTCCCTTTTGCGCTCTAACTTTTGCCAAAGTCATCCTTTCGGGTTTTCAACCTTGCGAGCACTTTTTTTTTTTCTTTCTCTTTCTTCTTTTTCCTTTTTTCATTTTTCTTCATTTCTTCTTTTTTTTTTCTTTTTTTTCATTTTTTCATTTTTGTTCTTTTTTTTTCTTTATTGCTCTAACTTTTGTCTAGGTCACCCTTTCAGGTTTTTGGCCCAGCGAGCCTCTCAAGGATAGAGAATTTTAACTTGTCCATGTTGATTGGTTTTGCGATCTCTAAGCCATCTAAATCTAGGAAAATGGCTGTTGTTCGTTGATGATGTAAGAACCCATCCAATTGGGTCTGAATTAGCCCCTAGTGCCACGGAGAGGAACTCGATCGTCCTTTTTGTAATAAATTTTCTTCTTTTAGATTATGGGATTAGGTTTTCTTGTCGATCTCCATTGACTTGAGAAATTACCCAATTTTGAATCTTCAAGCATATTTGACCTTTTTTTGCCCCTAGTTCAAGGACTGCTTTTCATCCAGCTATGCAAGCTTCCTTCGATGACATACGACCTTATTGCCCCTAGTTAAAGGGTTGCTTCCAATCCGACCATGCAAGTCTCATATTGTGGTTGATCGTTGAGCATTTTGAATCAAAGTTTGAAAGTAAAGAGGTCAAGTCTTGAGGCTGAAAGTGATCCTATGTTGTATAATCTCAAGATCAATTCCAGGCATGTCTTCATGGGACCGCGCAAAAATATTTTTGAAACTTTTAATAAAGCGACTTGCCACTCATGCTCTTCTGAAGACATAGTAGAACCAATTTGGATCAAGCCAAGATCCTCCTCAGTACTCACATTAACATATATGATTTCATTCATTAAGGGCTTAGCACATCTTTCTTCCTTTCAGTTGATCAAATATTTGCAAATCTCGAGGAATTCATCCCTCTTTGTTTTCACCACAGTTTTGGAAATAGTTTTGAAAAACTTTGGTCAATGCAATGATTTAAAGGCATAGAGAAGTAGGTGAAAAGTATTGTCATTTCATTCAAATCTTCTAGCTCAACTAGCTCAATAATAGAAATAGATGCAAAAGAAAGAGTGCAAAAAGCAAACAAAACAAAACAGTGATGTGATATCCGAGTTAACACGCCCGAAATCACCTGACTCTAACAGAACAAGATTGACTCAATACCCAAGTCCAAAAGTAAAATAAACAGCATTTTCAAAGTGCTAAAAAGGGCGTGCCATCCACCATATCTGGAGTAAAATGAGCGCCATCAGTAGGTGGTTCAACCCCGATCACATAGTCGCATTATCCTCTAAGTTCATTGATCCAGCACCGATAGACTTTGTAGGACATGGTGAAGTGATTACCTTATTGTCAATCAGATCTTGAACTTCATAGCAAAGACGAAAAAAACCGTCAGTGTCATGGCCGGCTTGTTAATGGAAGGCGCAATATTTTACTGCATTATACTTAGTTGGAAGGGGATCAGGGAGAGGCCGAGGGGCAAGGGGTTTAAGATAGACTTGTCCTATGAGGATTTGGAGAGCTTTAGCTAAGGTCATGAAATGGTGATTGATGGTGTGGTTACCAATCCTGACAAGATTGATGGAGGGCTTGGCAAGTGTTGACTAGGTTTGAAGTTCCCTTACGAGTGTAGGATTGGAGCTGAAATGGGTGTTTCTGGTACAACAACCCTTTTCCTGGCTTTCTGCTTGATTCAGAATGCCCCCAACTTGAGTAACAAAAGTGTCATCCACTGTTTTTGCAACAACTGCAAGCACTTGCTACTTGTTCAGCCCTTTGACCTTCAAAGCCTCACTAGCCCACTAAAGATGTTCATAGGGATCAATGCTTGCCCCAACCTTGTTCTTGCCACTTACTTTAGCTTTGCCAAGGGATTGGGTGTCTATATCGAAGTGAGGCCAATTTGTTGTTGTCATGTGATCACCCAGACCCGAGATAGCTTTAGGTTGGCCGTTTTTAATTATAGCTTGCCCTAAGAATGGGGAGCCATGAAATTTCTGGCATGTGATATGGTCGATGAGAGAGCCAAAATCCCAAAGGCTAAATCTGCCACTGTTCTCTGCAAATCTGCAATCATGCTCACCAGCTCAGAAGTAGTAGGCTCATGGGTTTGAGATGATTGGGGTTTAAGTGCATCCATCATACACAAGTCGGTGCTTTCTAGAATGAACACCTCAGGGTTGGGTAAGTGGGCTGAGGTGATGTATATGCTGGGGTTGTCAGTGGATGGTAGCGTATGGATTAGGTTGAGGTGTGGAGGTAATGGGTTAGGGTTATCCTGAGATCTTTTTAGTGGAGCTATGTGTAGACACCCCATTTCTGACCGACCTTAAGACTCAGACATCATCGATTGAGTGCTCAGTGATTGCGCATGTTGTGCTCGTTTTGAGGTTTTGGAGTTTCGGCTGAGAGCCTTGCCTCCGGGCCTCGGGACTCTTTGTGCTTTGACTCGGTCTGCGGACCAAGTCTTGTTTTCTCTTCCCGGAGGGAGGGAGAAATCTTGTAGACCATCTCCCAGTGTACTTTTCGTGGTCATAGGCCACTGATCCCGTTTGGAGCCTAGTTTCCAAATTTCACAGCCGTCGACCGTGCGCCTCGGCTCGGGACCGCTTCACATCCTCTGTTTGGCACGGACTTTGGAACACACCTTGTTTCCTCTGTTTAGTGGGACGTTGTGGCCCGGGAGACCACTTTTGTGGTCGCACGCCACTTTTTGTGCTCAACAGCCAGTTTTCGAGGCACCCGGCCGTGTGCTTTGCCTCCCGAACTGTCGTTTTGCATCCGTGTTGGTTCATTTTTGGCATGAACCTTGTTTTCATTGTTTGGGAGGTGTTACAAGGGTGGGAGACCACCTTTTCTCCTTGGAGACCAATTTTCCCCCCCAGCCAGTTTTTCTTGTCAGGAAACTGCTCTCCTTGATCTTTGGGCCACATTTACTGGTCTCCCACCACACCATTGGCTTTCTTTCAGTGTGGAGACCACCAATTACCCTTAGAGACCATTTTTTTTCTAGGAGACCACTTAGGGTGGTCGGACGACCACTAAAAGTAGCTGGCCGACCACCTTTTCTAGCCGACCCCTTTTCTCCTATTTTGTCTGACTCTGTGGATGCCAGTTGTGCCAGCTGGAGGGCATAGATTGTATCCACTATACACGTGTATGGAGGGATTGCATCCATGTTTAGCTTCTGTAAGAAGCTTGAACCCTTGTTTCTTCTATAAGAGAGACCCTCCCTCTCCTTGAACCAGGTTCTGAAATTGCTTAAGGCAAAAAAATATATATCTCCCTCTATATCTCTCTATTTTGGCTCAAAGAGTGGATTGTTCTTGACCTATTGCACCACACCTCATAGCCATACACCTCCACCATTGGAAGGCATTTTCAGAGGTTAAAGAGTTGGTTTTTGGTCCCAAAACCTGCTGGTTTTGCTAAGCTTCAAGGGTAACACATTTTCCCTCTTTTTAAGCTTTATCTTGATCATTCTCTTAGCCATACTTGCATGCATATTTAGACTTTGTTGTCAACTGAAAAAAGCTTCATATTTAAGTGTTTTTCATGTTTGTTTAAGGCTCTTTTGGTGTTGAGGGTCATCTACCCTTTTGCATGCTCTATTTAGCCTTATTTTGTGTCATGCCATGAGACCTTTGTGTTGATCTTTGCTTGGCCTTTTAGCCACTGAAATCCAGCAGATTTTTAGTGCTTGGCATGTGGTTTCGAGGGCCTAAATCAGAGAGGGGAGACCCTCTCTCTTTTGGCCTTGTTTGTTTGCATTTTTGGCCTTCCAAAAGACCACATACTTTCATACTTCCAAGGCTTGGTTCAGGCCCTTTTTGGTTACTTTTGGGACCTACCTAAACTCTGTCTATGGTTGGTTTAGTCACTTTGTGTTTGCCTCTTGCATGCGTAGAATAATTATGACAAGATGTAATTAATAGGCTCGGTTACTAATTATGACATGTAAATCAATTTGAAAGCATGCGGTTTAAACACGTATTCAACGAAGTAATGCAAACTACAATGGTTGTTAGAATGATGAACCAAGCCTTGATTCATGCAAGACAAATGGATGCAAACATGGGGAATGCTAAAAGAAATTTGATATCCTAAACTACCCATCATAAGCAAGTAAATAAAAGGGAGAAAGACGTGGGGTTGGAAGACATACACATTATTACAAGTTTGCCCTCGTGTAGGAAGGTCTGAATGAATGAACTAGCTACGCTACTTTAACTAATTATTGCAAACCAAATGAAATAATTTAACTATACTAGCTAATTATTACAACACCAAGAATTAACTAACTACTTTAGCTAATTAAATAAGTACAACACAAAATTAACAAGCTAATCTACTTAGTTTAATACAAAAACTAACTAACTAATTACAATGAACAATTAATTAGCTAATTATTTAACTACTATGAGCCCCGGGGAATGAGGGTTGACCTATGCATGCACGCGGATTTTCACCCTAAAAAGCCCCCTGTTTTGCTGCCAGAATGCCTCTGTTGCTCAATCAGAAAATTGCACTGTTTTTCCACCTCAGCCTTTACTCTGCTCTGCTGGAAAAGGGACACTGCCTGGATGGAAGAAGCAGCTGGCAACCCAAAAGTAGTGGCCTGCCGCTTAGTAAAAGTGACATGCCGGCCACTTATGTTGGTTCTTTCCTGCTGCAACAGAAAACAAACAAAGCACAAACATAGCATTCTCAATGGATGTTTGTCCACCCTATCTCTCCTTATCATCAAATAGCTTAAATGAGATATAGGCTCAATTCACAAGCCATCAATCGGGGCAACTGCATTGCATGATGACTTATAAATCAAGGGATACAATTTCAATAAATGGTAAGGAAAGACCAACAAAACCTCCTCCCTATCATGGATTGATCAAGGGAAGTGGTTGACCTTAGAAACTTGAACCATTTCATCACTAACAAGTATGATATGACTCATGTCTCCATGTGTTCAATTAGTGTCCAATTGAACACCAAATTCTTTTATTATCTTGGTCCATTTTAACCCCAATTCTTTTACCTCTTTTAAATTACCTTCCATTCATTAGTCGATTAAGTCCAAAAATGAGCATTAATTCCACTAAAGAAAAGAAATGTCAAACAAAAGGTTGTTTTGAGCGTAAGAGAGATATCATGCTGTTGGTAATGAACCCCCGAAGGGATTAAACCATTAAGCACAATGATCTCAATCTCAAGCTTCAACAATCAATTGGTTGAGCCAACTCTCACAAAAAATAAAATGTCAAGTAAAGAGGGAGGTTGCAGAGATGACTAGAGGTGATTACAAGTATGGAAAATTTGAAATAAATTCTATCAACCTAAATAGGTTGGTGTCTAAGGCTTAAAACACCAAACCTATGAGGATCATTACACTACAAGTATGCAATACCAAGCATAAATGAAGCTAACTCTTAAAAAAAGTCCTAATTTATACTAAAATAGTACTGGAATTAAAAGAAAAACAGCTAAAAGAGTAAGCTAAAAACATGGAGCAATTAAGCCAAAAAACAAGCACAAGGATGGGAGGCTAACCCCCTCCATTTTTGGGACTTCAAAACATGATTTTAGCCTTTGGAAAACTCTGAAAACCAGTGGTAAAAAGCTCAAAAAAAGTTGAGAAAAGAATGGGAAACACAAGGGCAAAAGCTTAGAGAATAAGGTTCAAAGAAGGATGGTTAACCCCTCCACCCTTGGTAGCTTTAAACCACAAGCTTCAGCCCATAAAACCAGTGTAAAAATAGTTCAAAATTAGCAAGAAAAGATAGAAAATAACTAGTGTAAAGATGCTCAAAATTGTACCTCTTGGAGCAAGGCAACTCTTTTGTTAACAAACCCACAAGTTTTAACTCTCAAGTGCTGAAATTTGGACTCAATAATCTCAGTAAGGAGAGCTCCAATATTGGTTTAGGAAGTGTAGAGAGAGAGTGTGTAGGTTGCAAGATAGAGAGAGAGAGAGAGAGAGAGAGAGAGAGAGAAATTTGTAAGACTTTAAGTTTTTTGAACCTTTTTCTAACCTAAAACCAAGAGGGTTGGCCTGGTATATATAGAAAAATAGCCTCTCAGGTCAGAAATATCTATATAGGAACAGCTGGAGCTTTTGGCGGGCAGCTGGCAACAAATATCTGCGTTTTACATTAGTGGGCGGCCTGCCACAAAAATCTACTTCCAAGTCCCACTTCAAACAGGCATATCTCCTTCATCCGGACTTGGTTTCAGATCATTCTTAAGTCTAAATTGAAGCCCCAGAAGTATACTTTCTAATGGAGGTAGTTCAAATCTAAATTCTAAGTGTGCAAAGAGGTATGCCTATTTTAGTAAAGGCTGCTCATTTCTATCCTAACAGATTAATCCCCAACTTTTTCCCCAACTAGTTTTCTTCCCTGTCCTCAAATTTTTTTCAACTCCAAACCTATAAATAAGAGGTTTTAAGGATTTTTCAAAGAGTTCACCTCTCTTCCATTTATTTCCACTTTGTCCTTACTCAATTTACCAAAAAGTGCAATTTTTAATGAAATGCGAGCCTCGAAACATCGTAGAAACATTTTCAAAAATATTTTGATATAGTGGGTTTTAAGGTCTAAAATAATTTTGGTCCAAAATGAGGTGTAAGGTCGGGATTTAGAAGCTGTTCTTGCTAAAGAAATCAAGCATTTATACAGGATAACTTTCATCATCAAGTGATCAACCTAAGGCGCTCCAGTCTTAAGGGCGGTCAAAAATGGGATGTCTACAAGGTGTCTACATGGACCTTATGTGATCATCAATATATAAGTATAATGCAGTTGTTTGACTATACATCATTCCATTGCATTCCCAAAAGATAAATGTAAACACCAAGTGTGCTCTATACATCATTCCATTACATTTTGTACTAGTTGCTATGTCCCCTACAAAAATACAAAAAGTGGAACATTGTCTTCATGGTCTATGCTCACTATTTCATGTCCATTACAAAAATACAAAAAGTGGAACATGATCTTCACTAACTATGCACTAAAGCAATATGTATTATATACCTTAAAGTTATGATAAGTACTTGTACAAAAAACATCATCATCATCATAGCTAATTCACAAGAAACAATGAAACAACAAAAAGAGCCACTGCTGGATTCATGCTATGTGAAAAAAAAAAAAAAAAAAAAAAACCCTTACATGTGCATGCTAAAGTAACGTAATAGGGAGACTAAACAAATATGAAAAACTTACACTCAAACATGCTTGTCATTGGCCTTGCCCCTACCTCTCCTAGTTGATTTTTCCCTCCTAGTTGAAGTGCCCCTCCCAGATGAACTGTCCCTTCCAAATGAACTGTCCCTTCCAACTGAATTGCCTCTCACAGAACCTCTGCCCCTATCAGCAGTGGTGTCATTGCCCTTACCCCCAGCTCTGCCACTACCACTAGCTCCATCCCTTACTGGAGCTCTTTCGCAGGTTCTCCTATTGTGTCAAAATTGCATGCACCATTTGCATCTCAAGGTACTAGACCTCTTGCTTTGACTTATTCCAGCTGGAGGCTCATGAGTAGCCCTCTTCGTAGCATTTTTTGGCCTTCCTGGCAATCTTTTTAGAGGTGGAGGTTGTAAAAGGTCCTTTGGTATAAATGTCCACATGGTATGGTCTAAGATGGGATGTATTATCCCACAATTAGCTATCAAGTTAGTTTGCTTAGAGTAGTATGGGTGGACAAAATCTTCTAAGGTCAATCTACTATGAGAAATTGCAGCCACAGCATGTTTGCATGGGACCCCATAAATTTTCCACTCTCTACATACACAAGTCATCATGCTAGGATGGACAATGTAATTCACCTCTTCATTATCCTTACCTCATACTCATGACCTCCTGCATACTCTACTCTACAATATCTTGACCATTTCAGTATGACCTAATGTTGTTTCTTAATGTTCAAAGTCACATTACACTTCTATTGCAGAGCCTTCTGATATCTCATGTGCAACTTACCTCATATTTCCCAACCAATTGTTAAAGGACTCTGTCATGTTATTTGTGATGTGATCAATCCTTATTCTAGCATCAAATGCATGCCTAGTCCTTCCTTCAACTGGCACTTTTTGCAACCATATGAAAGCATCATTTGATATATCCTTAATGGCTTGCATAGCCTGCTCATATTCCCTGTGATTATATGTCCTTGCTGCCTTCCAGAATTGCTTCCTCAACATCAATCCAGGAAATTTTGCTCTAAAATTGATGAATAAGTGCATGCAACATCTTCTATGAATAGCCTCTAGTATAATGTCACTCACAATCTTGTCATGGCCCTGTACACACAAACAATGAAACATTAGTAGCCATTACAAGTATAAAATTAGAGGATAATGCATTATGTAAATAAATTAGTTGTTCAACAAGTACGTAAATTACCTTTTGCTTAACAGACATGATGGTCCGTGGCCTAGAAAAAAGTGCATCTTCTATGACTATTCTCAAGTTCTCCAAAAAGAACGTCCAGTTGTCCTTACATTCACCCTCCACTACTGCTAATGCCAATGGAAACAAATCACTATTTCTATCTAAGGCAACTGCTGAAATTAACACTCCACCATAGGGACCTTTTAAGTGGCAACCATCCACCCCTATGAAGGGCCTACATCCATCAATAAACCCTTTTTTCATTACCTTAAATGATATGAAGATTCTTTGGAACAATGGATACTGTAGACGCGCCCGTGGGCCTCATGCTACAGTTCGGACTCAATTTGTGTCACGGTCCTTAATCTGAACCAAAGAGTCCAAATCCAGCAAATCGTTTTGAGAAACAGATTTTTGAAAAGAAGTTCCAAACATGGACTGCTTTGCCAGATACAGAGTCGCCACCTAAATATTTTTTATGGGGGAATTTAGGAAACCCTGACTCAGTGCCAAAGGCCACGTATCCGTCATCACCAAAGTTGCCTTGGCTCAGGAGCTTGGGTACGATTAGGGAAGGTCAGCTATGAGCACCCCCTCTCGTCCGATCCGAAGATCGGCCTCTACTAACCATGATATCCAGTTTTGACAACGTTATGCGTTCTTATTCCATTTATTAGCCTAGAATTACTATGTTATGCGCGCAGCAAACAAGTATAGACCAAATCGCCTAAATTGGAACAAAACATTGCATATCTGTTTGTTTGGAAAACGCTTTGGAATTTGCTACTCACAAGTAGGCTAAAATACGGATTTCAATGAGTTATCCCAACTCAAACAATCCAACCTTCATCCACAGGCATTCAAGCAGTTATATCACATAAGCAGCTAGCCTCATGGTAATCATGCTATTATGGCAACACTCACACTCATGCGGTATGCTAAAGCGTAAAAATACTTACAATGTACTCCGAGCCAAAACAAAAGCTAGTTAGTAATCAATGCATGATCCTAACTCATGTTAAGTGGCTAATGCAACGCATGCGGAATGTCACTAGAGTAGGCTCGGCTAGTCTATAAATGACATGTTTAAAATGCACAAGTAGCACGTATTCAAGTTAGATTTGAAATACTTATGCAGTTATTATGATGCGCCGAGCCTGGTGCATGCATGACTAATGAATGATGCACGCATGCATAGCATAAGGTGTGCTAAAGTAAACATGCCCTAGTCTACCATCATAAGCGGGTAAATAAAAGGGAAGAAAGACGTGGGGTTGGAAGACATACACACACTCACGCACACTTATTACACAATTGCCCTCGCTCAGAGGGTCCAAAAAGAATAATACAGTCCGAATAATGAATCAACTATCCTAGCTAATTAATTATTACAGACCCTCTAATTAATTAACAAATTAATAACGAAAGAAGGTGGCCACAGCCCCGCCTCGGGATGTGTGAATGATGCATGCTTGACTCGTCTTGCCTAAAAATCCGTACCATGCCACTGTTGCCTCTGTTTACACTGCCTTGCTCCTCCGAAAGTTGTGCGACTCCCAAGGTGAACTCTCTGGACACTGGAGAGCATCACAGACCAAGTGGAATTTTCATCGGCCATGTCCGGATGGTTATCGACCATTTTTAAATCCATCGGCATATAATTAATGGCCGGTCGGCAGTATAGGTGGCCGGCCGGCCGAATATTCCTGCAGAACCTGTTTTTGACAGCAGCAGAGGACAGATAGTGCATGGCAAGGAAATTCAAAGCAATATATGCATGGCCATTCTCCCTATCATGCAATGGACTCAAGGGAGCATGGCCCTCGACCCTTAGGCCATTAATCGCGTACTTCAATGCATGATGGCCCAAAAGCCAAGTGTGCAACTTTGATATCAAATGAAATGCAAGCACAAAACACATCAAAGGGCCCCAACCCCTATCATGGTTGATCAAGAGGCAAGGGAATGCACAACGATGCACATGCGACCTAAGCATGCAAACAAACATACGAACACGCAATGCAACTACATGGCACACACAATGCTAATAACATAACATGCACAACGCATTGAAACATGGCATACACAATGCAGGATGGACTTATACCAATGCGAGTGGACCTCAGCCACACTCACATCAGTGGCCAATAAGATGGAAATGAGGCAATCGAAATGCACACAAACATGTCCAATGCATGGACCGATCCTAAGATACAACACACAACTCTAACTAAGCATGGAAAATGATGAAACATGGCATATGAACATGAAAATTCCAGCACTGAAGTATGATGCTAAACAGCCCCAAAACATGGAAAAATGGCACCCGATGCATGAGATGAATCCTGCAACTCGAAACTAGGCATACGGAATGACTTACAACTACACAAAGCATGCATTATTTGATCATGAAGCATGAAGACAGATGCAAGACAGTCCCAAAACATGCGTATTTTCAGTTTATAACAAGTCTCAAAAATGAACACAAATAGGGCTAATCTATCATGCAAAGATGGCCCTAAAAGAGAGATTAAACAAAAAGGGACAGCAGCTGGCCCCAAATGGAAAAGAGCCCTTCAAAAAAGTTGAATAAGGGCTCAAAACAAGGCACTTTACAGTTTCCATCAAGCCGCAAAAATAATCACAAATAGGGCCAAACTATCATGCAAGAAAAGGCCTAAAAGAGGGGTAAAGAGACAAGTGGTAGTAGGAGACCTCAAACAGAAGAGAGCCATTCAACAGTGTTGAAGAGAGGCTCAAAACAAGATATTTCTCAGTTTATGGAAAAGTCCAAAATAGCTTACAAGTAAGCCTAAAATACTATGTAAAAGATTGGCCTAAAAGAGAGACAAAGAGGCAAGTGGTAGTAGGAGACCTCAAACAGCAGGAGGTCCTTGATCAAACATGAAAAGGGGCTCAAAATATTACTATTTACAGTTTGGGCTGGAGCCCAAAAAAGCTAGCAAGTATGGATTAGATACAAAGCAAAATAAGGTAAGAAAAGAGGAGAAGAAGACTTACCCTTGAAGACCAATGAACCAGCAGCTCTTGGACCAAATTTCTGAGCCTTTAACCTCTCCAAAACAATCCCAAAGTGCTGGAATGAAGGATGGAGGCCTTGTGCTATGAGGTGTAGGGTAAATGGTGCAAGAACCTTGGGATTTGAAGGGTTTGGGAGAGAGAGATAGGGAGAGAGCTGAGAATTTTTTTAGAGAGACAGGAAATTCTTCTTCCTCCAAGTTGTATCTCTCCTCTCTTCTCTCCTTGTGTCTTTTTCTTTTTTTAGAAGCTTGATTGATATAGAGATATATCAATCTGCAGCTCCTCAGAGCTCCCACGTCCAGGCATGGGCTGGGGTATGGCCTAGAATGACAGCTGCCAGCTGTCTGCAGAAATATCTGTTGAAAACCACATTTGGCCGGCCGGCCAACAAAGTGGCCGACCGGTAGTCAAATTGGCCGGTCGGCCATCACATTTGGCAAATGGCAACATAACACAGCCGGTGGCCTCAAGCCATGGCCGGTGGAGTGTGGGGATGTCCCAAAAGCCATTCCCTGTCCTCCAAAGCAAAAACACAAGTGTTTGGTGCAAAACCAAACACAAAACGGTCGAGTCGAGAGATCCTGAGGCAAGGCGCGTAGCCGAGGTCTTCGGGAACTCAAGACGAACACAAAACATGGATGATCACTGAGTGTTCAAGCGGTGACGTCCAAGTCTTGAGGACAGTCAAAAATGGGGTGTCTACAGATACTGAGGCATAGAAGTAGGTTTTGGTTCTTCTCCATCTTCTGAGGCTAGGGTAGGTGGCATCTCATAATTTATGACAGCTAAGCTACCAGGGTTTGATTTCTTAATTTTCTCAACATATGTTGGCAGCAACACATATTGGCTACCATGATCACCCTCCAGCTCCTACTTGCACTTCCTTTTGGCTCTATACAATTGCATTCTTGAGACCTCAATCCCGTAAAGTTTGATAAGCTTCACTTGCATAATGTCTAACCCCGTGTGTGGATTCCCCTTAAAACTATTAACCAATTTCTTGGCAATCCATGTTGATGTTGCTTCACTATTTTGGTTCATCCTACTATATGTGTGATTAGGTACTAAGGTTTTGATCTTGTAAACCATCCAATCTGGAAGAGGAGATGCATGAATTCTCCAAGGGCATCCCTTAACAGCACAATGGGTTGTCACTCTGGCTTTCTCATTTTTGTTCCTCACTATCTTAAAACCAGTCTACACTGTATAGTCCCTCAATCTAGCTCTGAAGCTATGCACATCTGGAAATCATTCCCTTTTCTAGTACAACTTCTCCTTCTTGATTCAAATATGGCTCTTTCCCATTGTAAGTACCATCAAATTGGTTGCTTGGATAGCTCATCTTTTCATCATCCATCCAGTCTACTTCACCATCAAATTCATCATCACTACTAGAATATCTTACTTCATCATCACCAAATTGGTAATCACTAAGTCCATCATCTTCATTAGACTCTTCATTATCCTCATCACTTAAACTAATAGTGCTATTTGATTCATGTTCATCATCAACACTTGCATTTCAATCCCCATCCTCATCACTAAACCCACTGTAACAAGCACGCGGGGGACCTCGCTACAGCTCAGACTCGACTTAGTAGTCACGGTTCGTAATCTGAACCAAAGAGTCCAAATCCGGCAAATCGTTTTGAGAAAACAGATTTTTTTTGAAAGAAGTGCCAAACATGGACTGCTTTGCCAGATACAGAGTCGCGACCTAAATATTTTATTTTGGGAAATTTAGGAAACCCTGACTCGTTGCCTAAGGCCACGTGTCCGTCATCACCAAAGTTGCCTCGGCTCGGGAACTTGGGTACGATTGGGGAAGGTCACTTCGTGAGCACCCCCGCTCGCCCGATCAAAGATCGGCCTCTACTAACCATGATATCTATTTTTGAAAACATTGTATGTTCTTATTCCGGTTATTAGCCTAGGTTACTATGTGATGCGCACAGCATACAAGTATAGACTGAGTCGCCTGAATTGGAACAAAAACATTTCATGTTTGCTTTTTGAAAATAGTTTGCTACCCGCAAGTAGGCTTGAAACATTTGATGATTTACTCCAATTCAGATAACTCAACCTTCACCCACAGGCATTCAGGTAGTTATATCACATAAGCAATTAGCCTCATAGTAAGCATGCTGTTCATGGCATTCATTCACACGCATGCAAGGATGCTAAAGCATAAAACTTACCGAGTACTCCAAGCCAAAATAGAA